ATCATCATCATCATCATCATGGCCGGATAGTGAGCTTCATGGCCGGATAGTGATTTGAACCCTGGTTGTCCAGATCCCAGTCTGATACTCTTAACCAGGGATGTCCAACCAGTAGATTGCGATCTACCGGTAGATCCCCTGCTGATCCAGGTAGATCGTAGGATCCTTATCGTGTATGCGGGGGAAAGCTAAAAAACTCTGTGCAATCCTCCCCCCCAAAAGCTCAACAACTCTGGGCACTTCCCTCCTAAAAAAAGCTCAACACCCCACACATGCTCCTCCTCCCTCCAATGATAGATCACTGCCAGTTTTTTTTATACTGGGAGTAGATCACAGTCTCTTGGGAGTTGGACATGCCTGCTCTTAACCATTGTGAGGATGTTAACCTTGTTTTAAGCCTATTATTTATCTTTGTGTCTCCCTCTCCCCATCCCTCATGCACGGCGTCTTCAACGCCATTTTTATTCCTCAAATTACTGCACCCTCCCTGGTTTAATCACATGGTCGATCCCAGCTACCTGGCACGAGATAGCCAGTCAGATCTGCCTACGGGCTGGTGTCACTGGTCCTTGCTCTACATGGCTAAACACTCCAAAATGCTTTTCGACAGTGCCAAAAATATTCACACTTTTGGCTTAGCCCCTCTGCAGATGCTACAGGTGCATAGTCCAGGTATCTCAGCACCTGCCGTGCAAGACAAGATCTTACTTGTCAATGAGAACTTGCTTTCAATGGACGATGTTCCATCATGTACAATTGCTTTCTATATTAAATACTATGGGAGAGAATGCTTGTTTCTCCCCCTCTTCCCACCACTCTGCAGCTAATCATGACTTGCCTAAGCTCTGCAAAGACTTAGTGCATGGCACACCACACCAAATCAAGATAAGCTGCTTCATAAAGGTTGATGTTACTCTCCTGCCCCTCAAAATAAAATGCCCCTTTGGAACAGGTGCCTATTTATCTAGCTTGTGCAAACTACAAGAGCCATAGCTCACTGGTAGAACATCTGTCTTGCATGCAGAAGGTCCCAGTTTTAGTACCTGGCATCTCCAGGTAAGTCTGAAAGAGACTCCCTGTCTGAAACCATGGAGAGTAGACAATACTGAGCTCAGTGGACCAATGGCCTGGCTTGGTGTAAGGCATTTTCCTATGCTCCGAAAGTAGAAGCCAGAATCAACTATAATGATTATAAATGCTAATGACTGTAAAAAGTAAAAAAGGCAAAGGACCCCTGGATGGTTAAGTCCAGTCAAAGGCAACTATGGGTTGAGGTGCTCATCTCACTTTCAGGCCGAGGGAGCCGGCGTTTGTCCACAGACAGCTTTCCAGGTCATGTGGCCAGCATTACTAAACCGTTTCTGGTGCAACTGAGCACCGTGACGGAAACCAGAGCGCACAGAAACGCCATTTACCTTCCCGCTGCAGCGGTACCTATTTATCTACTTGCACTGGCATGCTTTCAAACTGCTAGGTTGGCAGGAGCTGGGACAGAGCAGCGGGAGCTCACTCCATCATGGGGATTCGAACCGCCGGCCTTCTGATCGGCAAGCCCAAGTGGCTCTCATTGGTTTGGACCAAGATGAAACTACTCAGTTTTCTTTCTCTTTCATTCTTATTTCTTTATTAAATTTTTATACTGCTCTTCATCCAAAGAACACCTGGCGGTTTACAATATAAAAACACACAACATTGCAACAAACAAAAACAATTACACACATACACCTTTAAAAGGCCATAGATTAATTAGCCAATGATCTGGGAGAAGAGGAATGTTTTTGCGTGGCACCTAAAGATATGTAACAAAGGCACTAGGTGAGCCTTCTTGGGGAGAGCATTCCACAAACGGAGACACCGCAGAAAAATAGGCAGAAAAGGTCCATTCTCAGATGATGAGGGCAGGGTCTGGGCCACTTTATATGGAGAGAGGCAGCCCTTGGGCTGTTGCTGTCCTGAGCTGTTTAATACAGCGAAGGATTTTATTTTTAATGCGACTTAGCATAAACTGCAAGAGAAATTAAATTTCACAGATTGGCCAAATCCTAATGTTTCTGAAGAGCTATGTAAAAAGATAATATGGGTCACTAACAAGAATGAAATAATATTATTTTCAGACGGATTTTTTTTTATCACTGGTTTAAATGTTCCACAACAGCAACTCATTCCAGTGCATCAACTGCCATTTCAGAAATCATTTTGCCTTTCCAAATTATTAGCTGTTATGTCACATTGGTCCCCAAAGCCCTCCATGATTGCTTGCAAAGGAAATATTTGGTAAATCATGTAAACTGGAGATGATGAGGGCTAATTAATGGGCAGACGGAAAGAGGTGGAAGTCAAACAGCCAAAAGATGAAAAGTTGCTATAGAAACAACTTCTTACAACATTGAAAGCCACTGAAGCTTGAATGACATATTCCAGTTTACAGTCCAGATTGACTTCTGGTATTTGGTTCACTTTAGTGTCAGGATCTGAAAAGGGGGGGGGGGGGGGAGAACCAGTCTGCCTAAACTGCATGGAAAATGTTTCCATCCTTTGAAGATAAACAAGTTAGCAAGCTTTTCTCTCAAAGAAAAAAAAAAGAGTTAATGAAGTAAGGCTTGAGGAATATCCCTCTGTCCAGCATAAACAATGATTATGCTAATATCTCAGGCCATTGCAGAATACAGACCAGGAACAGACCTCGGCCAGGATGCTGTGGGAAAAAAGAGAAGACAACAACAGCTGGAAATGTTTGGCTCCTACAATTAAGATTTTAAACCCCTCGGATGATGGGTTTCAAAGCTGATGCTTCCTGCAAGCCCATTTGCGTGGGAATCGGAAAGGCTTCTCTCAAGGTAGTCAACAAATATCGCAACTGCATATATGCACAATTTGTTTGCAATATGGCTGTAATATTTGTTGTTGGGCACCAACACAGTGCAAGATTCTAGGGGTTCCAGGCACTTACGCCGGGTTAGGTTTCCTTGGAATGAGGGGCAGTGGAGACTGTGGTGTCTTTATGATAGATGGTTTATTTACACATATATTTTCAACCTGAGCTGAAGATGGAGCATTAACACCCCCAAAGTTCTTGCTTTTCCCATAGCCACAACCTTGGATTCAAGTAGGAATTAAGCATGTTTCTCACTCTTAGGCTATTGCCTAAGCCCAGCTCTCTCTCTCTTACACCCAACTCTAGCTGTTATCCTTTTAACTACCAGCCAGGTGAGGAAGGGGACCCACCCATTTGCTCTCTGGCACTGAGACACTTCTTTTCTTATGCTACTAACCCACACTTAGGGCCATTATAGCCCTGCCCAGTTAACTCAACAATGGGCTCTTCCATTGGAGTCCACCCCACCCCACAAACTCACAACAACAACACCACATACACGCAAACACACATTTGGAAGAAACCTATCAATAGAAAATAAAATGCCTTCATATAAACAGTCCTATTAAATTCCACCTTCCTTTACCGATGCAAACTTGAACCACCTCAAACAGAGAAGTCTTAAAACACTCCCAGTGTTGTTCAGACTTGGGATGTATGCAGAAGGAAAGGCACTTTGCTCAGTGGCAGACCCTGTGCTTCAGTCTTCATAATCTTTGTTTGAAAGATCTCAGAGCGTGAAGCTTGGGAAGACTCCTGCTAGAGAACGTGGAGATCTGCTGCCAGTGAAGACCAGACAAGGCAAGGCTACATGGACCTAAACAGAAGCTTCTTATGTTTATGTATGTCATGTTTAGATTGATAATAAACATATACCTTATGTATTGTACGTAGTGCTTCCAGGATTGTTAATCAGGAGACCACCTGCTACATAGCAGTAAAAAAAACTACCATTGGGGAACTTTGGTCACCATCCACTGAAAGATCTATTGCTGCACATAGCAGAGCACCTATATGCTTTAAAAAGGTATCATTATCACTCCAAGAATGCTACCTGGAAAAAGAACTACTCTCTATTGGTTATCCCTAGGATGATGTCAAACCTAGACAGCATCTTAAAAAGCAGAGACATCACCTTGCTGACAAAGGCCCGTATAGTTATGGTTTTCCCAGTAGTGATGTATGGAAGTGAGAGCTGGACTATCAAGAAGGCTGATCGCTGAAGAATTGATGCTTTTGAATTATGGTGCTGGAGGAGACTCTTGAGAGTCCCATGGACTGCAAGAAGATCAAACCTATCCATTCTGAAGGAAATCAGCCCTGAGTGCTCACTGGAAGGACAGATCCTGAAGCTGAGGCTCCAATACTTTGGCCACCTCATGAGAAGAGAAGACTCCTTGGAAAAGACCCTGATTTTGGGAAAGATGGAGGGCACAAGAAGAAGGGGACGACAGAGGACGAGATGGCTGGACAGTGTTTTCGAAGCAGCATGAGTTTGACCAAACTGCGGGAGGCAGTGGAAGACAGGAGTGCCTGGCGTGCTCTGGTCCATGGGGTCACGAAGAGTCGGACACGACTAAACGACTAAACAACAACAAAGGATGATATAGAATGGTAGTGCTTTTCAAGCTTGAAAAATGTAGGCCCCCCGTGAGCCTTCCTAATACAACATTTCCCAGAATGATACAAAAAAGCAGAATACAAAATTGACTAAGGAAGAAAATCCTTTGAAATGCCTACCTGCCCTCCATTGTATTTACTATGGCTAATTATCATGATCAGCACAGCCATTGCAGTTCATCACAGTGTTGCCTTCACAGCTATGTCCTCTAGGAAGCCACTGATATGTAAGGAATCCTGACTAGGTTCCTCTCCCATGATATCATCTGATGATGAGGCCATTTCATAGGCTGTAAGGGAAGAAGAATGAAACAAAACAGTTATTGAGATGCATTTGGCACAATATGCAAATGGGTAAACTCATGCCCCGACCTCCTTTTGAATAAACTGTGATGTGCCTTATGAAATGTTCTGAGCAATAAAATAAATAGTCTTTTAAGAAACAAATTGTCTGTATAAACAGGGAATGGAATGGAAAGCCTTGGCCATTTGCCAGTTGCCTTCCAGAGATAAGTAAAAGGAAATACAGGACAAGAAGTGGACTTGCTCACTTGTTCCACTGCAAATGGGCAAACGCCAGTAAGTGTCTGAAAGCAGAGACGACGATACTGGATTGTTACCAAAGTTCTCATCTCCTGGTGTTTTAAGACCTTTTGCTTCCCTTATTGCGCACGGGGTGGGGGAGACAGCAGCAACACATTGCAAGGGGATGTTCTGTGACCTTTAAATCAGAAGATTTAAATTCTGTGATTCTATACCCAAGTCACGAGTGCTGGCACCAGTGGACCTGAGACTGTCAAAGGTGCTGTTCACAAGAAGTTAGCTGTTGCCTTTTTCTATTCAAAGCCTCAAATTGCAGCAAGAAGTCCCAAACCAGCATGAGGATCATTTCAGGAAAAATTTCGGAGAGCATGTCCTCAGTATGTTCTGGGACTCATTGTTGGTCTTGGGGTGCTTCCAAACTGTCGTTATTTTAGGTTGGAGTTCAAAGGCATACTGGTAAATTCAAGGTGCACAGTTATAGTTGAATGAGAGGTCTTGCACAACACATTGGTTTTCCCAATGAAGGATAATTTTTACATTCAGTATAATAATGTAATGTAATGTAATGTAATGTAATGTAATGTAATGTAATGTAATGTAATGTTTGTACCCCGCCCATCTGACTGGGTTGCCCCAGCCACTGGAAAGTATGGAATAGTGCTTAATTTCATGAAACATCATCAAACCTGCCTGCAAACAAATCAGGTTGGATGTTCACTAAGCAGCTCACCTGTAAGAGAGTGTCAGATGGAATGCGAGGGACTTTTATCTTCTGCCAGTTCCTGAAAGGACAAACCACAGACATATAGAAAAGTAGAGTTGTTTGTGACCCCTGGGACATGGCATAAATGCAACAAGCAAATAAATGAAACGGGGCAACCCTATGCTCTGAAACATCTCTGACAGATTTTGTGAAAACATCCAAGGATTTCAGAACGTCCTTGGGAAGCTTAGTTCTCAAAACAAATATGATGCACATGGTGAGACATCGGTGTAAATCAAACTTCCCAAGTGTGG